GGATTTTGGGGAAATTCCTTCCTGGAATTCATTGTCCAGCCCTGGCACAGCTGTCAGGGAGGTGGAGTGCCCATCTCTGGAGGGATTTATAAACTGTGTGGAATGGCACCTGGGGACATGGGTTGATGGTGACCTTGCAGGGCTGGGGGAATGGTTGGATTCCATCTCCATTTCCCAACGTTAATGTGTCTGATCCTGCAGCACTGGCTGGGAGCCCAGAGGGACTCCAGAGGTGTCCCAGCAGGGCTGAGGTGTTGGACCCTGGCCTTTGACATAGACTGTTTGGGTTTCTGAGGAATCAAAACACAGGAAGTGTCTTAGCTAGGGAGTCCTCAGGGCTGGAGTGTCTGGGGATGCTGCTCAGGTACCTCCCTGAGCCTTTTGAATAAATTGGTGCTGCTCTTTGCAGTCCCAGTCCCACAGCTTTGCAGGCAGATCCATGCACACACCCTTCCGTGGGCCAGAGAAACAGGTGAGCTCATCTGGTGCTTTATTCATTTGACCCATTGCAGTAAAAATGAGATTTCCTTAGAAGGAACAGAATTCTTGTGTCCCTTTATCCTTTAGGATACCCTACAGGATAGTCCTCTATACTCTGGGAGCCTGTGGGTGATGATAAATCATCTTCTGCTTTAGTGTTGCCATAGTTTGTGCTGGGTTTGGAGAGCACAGCCATTAAAGCCCCATAATTCTCTCTTGGATTAAATGATGGAGAGACACCTCACTGATAGGGAGCGAGGCTGCAAAGTTTATTTGATGGATACATTTTTCTGAGGAGTGACTTGTAAATCTCTGTGCCCTTGCAAAGGGCACACACAGGAGGGAAACATAACTCAGGAATGGGAGAGTGGGAGTCTGATAATGAAGGGAAAAAACCAAAGAGAAATGTATGACCTGTGCCAGGAGATCCTCGGAGTACCCATGGATCAGCGTGGATAGAGCAGGGCTCTCATCCCTCTGGCTCCCAGGCTCTTGTAGTGCTGCTCAGGTCCTCACAGGGGTACCAGAGTCAGCCCCCAGCCTCCCCAGAGCGCTGTGCCAGGGGATGCTGTCTTTTCCCAAGTTAGTGGAGCAGCTGGAATCAGATTTTCCAGGGAGATGTGCTCTGCTGGGAGCTGATGGCAGGAGCAGAGCCATAGGGATTCAGGAGAGTCCCTGCCCTCTTGGAATACACCAATCCTGGCCAGTTTATGCCTGCTGGGCTGGTGGTTTGTGCACTCAAATGGTACAAACCCACTCCCTCCCCTGGGTGGATGTACTAGGTTTGGTGTAAAGTGTTTTGGGAAAGTTCCACTCAAACTTTAGGGGATGTTGGGATTTTGTTCTTTTGCTTATAAAGCTGGCAGGGTAATTATCAGAGTCCAGATGCAAAATGCTGAGAGAGAGAAATTAATTAATTCCAAAATTGACTTGCAGTAGTTTTAGGAATGTGAAACTTAGTCCTTAATCTCAGCGTGTGCTGGAGATGCTGCTTTCTTCTCCAATAAAGCTCTCATTTAGTGCTGTCAGGTTTCAATGAAATAACCATTAGTCCTGTCACTTCCTCAGGACTGAGCCTGCCTGCTTAAAAATGCACTGAGCCCTGCTCTGATTCCAAACCAGCTTTGCTATGTGAGGCTGGAGCAATATCCACAAACACCTCTTTTATCTGGGCTTTGCAGCAGAGCTGTAATTTTCTGTACTGCAGCGTCAAGGCAACGAGAAGGGAGCTGAGGACCTGGATTCACACTCCAGGCTTTGTTTTTTATCTTTAAAACAGACCAGCCCCCAGTCCAAAGCCTCAGATAGGATTTGAGTACATCAAGGCACGTCAGAGAAATGTGAAGTGACAGATTTGGAACAAAAGCTTGTTTGGAGGCAGCTGATTTCATCCAGGGTCCTGAGCACCTGGTCAGGTGTGGGTGGGCTGAGCAGCATCCAGCTCCCCCTCCCTCCCGTGGGCATCAGGAGTGGGACTCAGGTGGTGTTTTCACATGGATGCTACATTTGAGCTCCCTGTGTTTTCCTTCTGAAAGCTCACTGGCTGTTCATGACCGTGCCATGTGCTGGGTTTTCTTTTGATCACATCGTCTGTGGAGCTGTTCTGTGTTTGCAGTCGAGTTCAGTCCCTTGCTGTGTTTGGGGAGCTGTGCTCAGCTGTCCTTCCTGGAGGCACAGCCATGACCCAGGCTGCTTTCTGCACACACCTGCTGGGAGAGGCACTGAGCTGCCCTGTGTGTGTGGCTGTGTCTCAGCACTCAGCAGCACCCCGAGGTCTCAGCAGTGGAGAGCTTGGCTCAGTGTTTATTTTTGGCTCAAGTGTTACCAGCACATTGCTCTCAGCAGTGCCCAGGGCACACCCAGCCCCAGGCAGTGGGTGCTGCAGAGCCCTGGCTCTGACCTGGTCTCCCCTCTGCTTTGGGATGGCTCCAGCTGCTCTTCTCAGCCTTTCTGTGCCAGGGTGTGTTTTGGATACAGATGTTTGGGAAGGGGGATTTGTTACAGAGCCACAGAAGGGTTTGGGTTGGAAGGGACCTTAAAAATCACCTTGTTTCAACCCTGCCATGGGCAGGGCCACCTTCCCTCAGACCAGGTTGCTCAGGACCCCATGCACTGTTCATTTAAGAGTGTTCTCGCCTTTCCAGGTGTGTCAGGAGTGAAGGCAGCTCGGCTGGAGGAAGCTCTGGCAGTGAAGCACTGTGCCCTGTCCCTGGTGGGGGAACCCATCATGTACCCACACATCAACAGCTTTGTGAGGCTTCTGCACCAGCATGGCATCTCCACCTTCCTGGTCACCAACGCTCAGTTCCCCGAGGAGATCAGGTAAGAGCTGCAGGAAATTCCTGCTAAACTTGCTTCTGAAACATTGGAGTGCTGACCTGTGTCCTAATCCTGTTTAGTGGCTGCTCAGAGTCAGCTCCACATGAGCACTGGCAATAAAAAATCCCCCTCAGCATCTGATTTTAACCTCAGTCTCCTCATGCTCCTTCTCATCCCTTTCTCCCCGTCGGTTTGATTCTTTTCTGTACCTCCTAAACAAATGGTGATTGCTGACAGAAGTGGAGAGGATGGCATGTGGCATCTCTGAAGGCGTGGCAGGAGGGGAGCAGTGAGTGAGCTGTGGTTTGTGTCTGGGGCAGGAATAACTTCTGTCCTTCTGGCAGGCAGAGCAGGGCACTGAGCTCAGAGATTGCCTTTTGGGGCTGGTCTTTGTTCTGACCCCAGAGGAGCAGCTGTAAAGGCTCAGCCCAAAGCTCTGTCCAGCCCAGCATCCCCAGCAGGATCAGCAGGGGTGACAAGCACGTGTTCATCAGCAAAGTGGGATCCACTTAATCTCCCTCAGGGGCACTTGAGTGGAATCTTCCAAACACTTTAATGAACTCTTTCAGAGTCTTTCCAAAGGTAAAAAATCGCTTTTTGTGATGCTTTGGAGCACCCAGGCTGCTGTTACCAAAGTGTAGAAAGGAGGTGCAGCACGTGGGGAAATGCAGGCTCCAGGGAGGCTGGGGCTGCTCAGAGTCCCAGCAGTTGAGAACAGCAGCAAATCCAGCCCGGGAGCTGTGGGCAGAGTGGCCTTGGTGTGTCATCCAGCTCATTCCAGCTCCTCCTCTGTGCTCTTGGGACAGCTTCCTTTGCACTCCTCGTGGTCTGGATCTGGCTCTGAGGGGGGGCTGCAGGCAGTTTGGGAGTGAGTAATTATACACTACAAAGGCATTCCAAATGATTGAATAATTGTGTAATCAAGTTACTTAAAGTAATGTATTATGTGCCTGGTAGATAGAAATTGCTCTTTCCTAAATATAGCAGTTTAAAAAGAGAGCACACACTATTTTGAAGCTGCACTTTTCAGATCTGCTGAATCTTTTTAAAAAGAAACAAAAAAAGAAAGGGATAAAATGCTAGTCTTGCTGTCTTAAAAATTGCAACTGATCTTTGGCTCATCAAAGCAGATGATTTACTTAATATGGGAACTGAAGTAGGCACCCAACTCACTTCTGTGCTGTCAGCAGAGGAGCTGTAGTCAAAAAGTTCATCCTGCAATAGGCAGGGTGACCTCTGGTGCAAGAGAGCTGAGAGGGACTGGGGGCAAGGGATGGAGGACAGGACACAGGGAATGGCTCCCACTGCCAGAGGGCAGGGATGGATGGGATATTGGGAATTAGGAATTGTTCCCTGGGAGGGTGGGCAGGCCCTGGCACAGGTGCCCAGAGCAGCTGTGGCTGCCCTGGATCCCTGGCAGTGCCCAAGGCCAGGCTGGACAGGGCTGGGAGCAGCCTGGGACAGTGGGAGGTGTCCCTGCCCAGGGCAGGATGAACTTTAAGGTCCCTCCCAGCCCCTTCTGGGAGAGAGCAGTGTGGTCTGGGGTGTTGCTGGATTCAGGACAGGGGCTTCTGTGGGTGCCCCTTGTGCCTTCCTCTTCTCCTCCTCCTCCTCCTCTCCTCGGGCTGCAGCTTCACCTGCTGCAAGCTCACAATAACCTGAGGGAGGTTTTACACCAGGTGATCTCCTGTTGAACCTGTACCTGGCTCCTGTCTCTGATCCATGGCTGTGAACAACCCTCGTGTGTTGGGTTTGCCTTTATGATCAATAATAATGCCAATAATGAGCAGATGATTATAAATGCTCACCAGCAAACGGTCATTTTTGATGTTGCTGTTCCTGGTCCTTGTGGGCTCTGTCCTGCCTGCCTGGTGAAGCCACCTCAGGGCTGGAGGCCTGAAGTGGATTTATTTGATGGCACAGGTCAGCTGAAGATTTCAGCTTGGGATTTCTGCTTACATCCATGTGTAAATGCCATGGATTTGGTCTCCTGGATTTCACCTCAGGTGTCTGAGCTAGCAAATCCCTCCTGGTACCATACAGCTGGATTTGCTGTTATTCTACACTGGAGCTGTCCCAGGGACACCAGTGTGTGTCCTTATTCTCTCTGCACCTGTGGCTACCCTCTCTCCTTGTTCCCCCTTGTTCCCCTTGGCAGAATGTGCCCAGCTCACCCAGGCTCTGATCCCAGCCATGCAGAGCCCTGTAGGCCATTCCTGTTGAGGCTGAAATCCCTCCCTTGGATCAGTTCAAATTCCTCATTTCCCCCATGCCGACTGTGTCTGGCTCCTGCCTGTCCCTAGGTTTGAGAAGGGATGATTTTTCTTAGGCCCTCTTTTGAAAAGCACCTGCTCTATCTTCACTAAGGCCTCTTTTAATTAAGCAAAGGCAGCACTGAGTAAAGAAAGAGTTTGGCTCAGTGTTCCTGGAAACTGAACACTTCACTTAGGCCCAGAATATTTGGTCATTTTGGAGTCTGTGGCTTGGGTTGCCAGTCCAGAGAAACTTGTTTACAAAACTCAGATTTTAACCTGAAATGTTCAGTTTGTTCTGGGTTGTTTCATTTTGCTGTCTAAATACACACACAGAGAATGAGTTCCAATGGTTGGTTGAGTGTCCACATTAAGTGGATTTTTCTGGACACAAAGAGCTCTGATCAGTCTCACTCTGGCCAGTTCTTGTCCCTGTCGCCTTTGGGTGACAGTGTATTTTTAGGTGGCACTGTTTGGCAGCTGAACAATAGCTTTTGATTTCTCCTCATCTTCTCTAGAGAACCAAATGAAGCTGGGACTGGTGCCTGCTCATTACAGACTTCACACAAAACACTCCCAAAATGCTGCCCCCAAATGCTGGGAGCTCTGTGGTACACTGGGATGTGATTGCTGATGCTGCAGCCCCCGGGTTGGGGGGTGCCATGAGGGGTGGGTGTGTTACACTCCCTGCCTTGGTCACTTTTCTCAGTGGAAAGGCTCTGTCTCCAACCTGAGGTGTGTCCCCATTCCTGGCGCTGCCCAAGGAAGGCCTGGATGTGGCACTCAGTGCCTTGGGCTGGTGGTAAGGTGGGCATTGGGCACAGGCTAGGCTTGGTGACATTGAAGGGCTTTTCCAGCCTCAGTGATCCTGGGATTCTGAGGGAGCTCCTTTCTAGGTTGTTCTTAATCCCTTTGATCCTTTTGCAGATGGACTGTGGTGCTGCTGCTTCTCCTTTATTCCCTTGGCATTTATGGAGGGGATTGTTGGAGTCCAGCACATCCCTCTGGCTGCCCTGGCTGGCTCCAGACCCTGGCAGGGGGCTTGGAGACCCTGGCATGAAGTCAGAAACACCTGTGGCTTCCATTTTAACCCGTGGAAAAAACTACCAACTCTGTATGAGGAATTACAAGCCACAAGGGTTTGAGTAGTGTGGTAGTTGAGTTAACGCAGGGTGAAAATGTAGAATTTTGGGATTTTTTAGACTAGGATTCAGGGGGTCAAGATGGAGGGATTTGGGCATGTCCTGGCCTTCTCCTTCTTGTCCTCCATGACTTGGTGTGATGGTGACAGGGATCAGCTTCTACCCAGGCTCATCCCATGGCAAAGGAGGTTTAGTTCCTCCAGGAGTTCCTGGTGTTTGGCTCCCAGGTGCTGGGACCAGCACTTGTGACCAGAAAGGCTCTGCTCCAGGATTTCTGTGGAATGAGAACCTTGGCAATGGAAGGAGAACACAGCTGTGATTTGTGTGTGGATTTATTTTCTAAACAGCTTTGATATCCCTGCAAAAATGTCACTGGTGATCCTACTGCAGGTCAGGGGAGTTTGGCATGTCCAGCAGTAGGAACTGGCTGAATTAGGGCTAAATTCAGAGTCACAGGATCCCTAAGGCTGGAAAATCCCTCCAGGATCATTGAGTTCCATCTGTGCCCCATCCCTGCCTTGTCCCCAGCCCAGAGCAACGAGTGCCACATTCAACCCTTCCTCTGACACCTCCAGGGATGGGCAGTCCAAACCTCCCTGGGCAGCCCCTGCCAGTGCCTGACCACCTTTTCCATGGAGAAATTCCTCCTGCTGTCCATTTCTTTTGAATGGGATTATTTTGCCATGGGCCAAATAGATTTTGGAGAAAGGGCACAGCTTTGTGAATTGCAGAACCTCCCCGTGCCTCACCTGAACCCTTTCCTTTGGGAAGCCTTTCCCAGTGTGTCACAGCTCCACTGGAGTGAAATCTGCCCTGGTGCAGGGAGGAAGTGCCAAAGACATTGTCAGCCGAGGGCTGTGTGTGTGAGTTCTCAGCCTTGGGGCTGTTTGGTGTGGTTATGACACTTGGCAAAGATGAACTTTCCCTGGAAATATTGTCCAATTCCTCTTCCTGCTTTTGTAGGAGAGCACAAACTCAAGCTGCAGATTTGTGAAAGCAGCAGTTCCCTTTTCCCTTTGCAGGAGGCTGGAGCCTGTGACCCAGCTCTACGTCAGTGTGGATGCCAGCACCAAGGAGAGCCTGAGGAGGATTGACCGACCCCTCTTCAAGGACTTCTGGCAGAGGTTTCTAGACAGCTTAAAGGCCTTAGCTGAAAAGGTACCCACTTAAGAATGGATTTTTAAATGGCTTTTTTCTTCCTTCTACACTTTGCTGACTCACCACCTCTTTTTCTTCCTTCTCACCTTACCTGCTTCTACTTTCTGCAGAACTAGAAGACTTGAGAGGTTTTAAGATGGACCATGGAGTGGGTTCTGGGTGTATTGGGAGTATATTTCCATGGTTGGGGTGTTCAGGTGTGTGAAGTACAGCAGGTTTGAGTGGGTTTCCAGGGCAGAATGTGTGTGTCAAATGGGGCAGTAAATGCTGTGAATAACAAGTGCTGTGAGGGATGAAGAGATTATCAAATAATAGATTTCTTAACAAAGGAGTTACACTAAAAACAGGCTGCTGAAGGAAAGCTGGAAATACAGGGAAGAGTTGTAAAGCCCCTGTGTTCCTTTGCTCTGGCTCTCAGGGGCTCCTTTGAAATGGCAGCATATGAGGGACATTAAAATGTGTGTGCTGGATTTCAGTAGCTCTGTCACCTTCCTGCTCCTGAGAAATCTGCTTTTTTTTTGTGGAAGGTAGAGCCAGCCCATGGGTTCTGAGCACAGCAGCAGGGGAGGCTTTGCCCTGTGCGTGTTGGACTCAGCTGAGCAGTGGTCTGGGGCCTCGGGGTGGTGTCAGCTCAGGCTCTGTGTGACAGGTGAGCTTTGGAGTAATTAATGAAGCACTTCTGGCCCCAGCAGCACATGAGTGGATAAGAAGAGTGCCTCACAAGCATGTCTGCCTCTCTTGTTCCTGCTCCTGGGCTCTGGTGGAAGCCAGGGCTGTGTTTTCTGATCTGGCAGCTGTTGACATGTTACCTGCTGGGATGAACAGCCAAGAGAGACTGTTGCTTTTGAATAATGAGGTTTTGTAGGAATAATGAGTTTTCCAGCCTTCTCAGATGACAGTGTTTGGACCATTCTCTGCCAAATGAATTTAGATTAGTGGATCTGTGGGACTCAGAGGAATTGAGTGGCACTTTCTGCTGCAAAGGCATGTGGGCAGCATGGTCAGGTGCTTTGTGTGTGATGGTGCAGCTCTCCTATGCAAAACCTCAGGCCAAACACTAAGGACATTGAAATGAAGTGGAAACTAAATTCTCTGTGAGCAGGGAAATCTGTGGGAAGAAGTAGAGCTAAAATACTGAAGGCATAAAGTACTGAAAAAACCTTTTGGGAAGTTGCTTTTGCCCATGGTTTCTTTCCTGCTGCCTCTCTTGACCCTGAGTGTTCATTACTGGGAGAAGTTTCCTTGCAAACAATTGAAGGTGAAAGTATTGGCAAGTCTGTCCATACAGCTAAAAATACTCTGGTCAAGGTGAAGAGGAGAGGAGAAAAGTAGCTCCACTAGCAGGTGCATTTTCTTCTCCAAGCAACTACACTTTGAAGGGTCCTTGAAACACTGATAACACGAGAGCCAATTAATGGTTGCTCCAGTTGAAACCCTGCTCTGCCAGCCCTGCTCAGCTGCACGAGGCAGCATCTCACGTGGGGGCAGCAGGAACTCTTGGGGAAGCTGCTGTTTGTTGGTTTTCTCTTAATCCCAAAATCAGGGAGGTTGGAAAAGCTGTCCCAGCCCATCCAGTCCAAGCTGTGCCCAGAGCACTGAATGCCATGTCTGGCTCTTCCTTGTGCGCCTCCAGGAGTGGGGACTCCAACCCTCCCTGGGCAGCCCCTGCCAAGGCCTGACCACCCTTTCCATGGGGAATTTTCCCTGATATCCAGCCTAAATCTCCCCTGGCACAGCCTGAGGCCATTTCTCTTTATCACCTATTCCCTGGAGCAGAGCCCGACCCCCCGGCTGTCCCCTCCTGGCAGGAGCTGTGCAGAGCCACAAGGTCCCCCTGAGCCTCCTTTTCTCCAGGCTGAGCCCCTTCCCAGCTCCCTCAGCTGCTCCTGGGGCTCAGCCCCTTCCCAGCTCCGTTCCCTGCCCTGGATACACCCCAGCCCCTCAGGGTCTGTCTTGTTGGGGGGCAGAAAACTGACTTTGGGTTGGAGTCTGCCTCAGCAGTGCCAGCACAGGGGACAATCCCTGCACTGATCAAACACAGGATTTTGGTTCCCAAAACCTCCAGGTGTTCCTGGGCAGCAGCAGCTCTCTGTTCCCCTCCCAGTTGCCCTGCCCAGAGCTGTTCTGTGGGATTGTGAATCTGGGAGGTGGTGGCAGCTAAAGCACCTGCAAATTCCTGGGAAATGCAGACCCTTCTCCAGGCTGGGTGTGGAATGCTGCTGCACTGTGTTGGGAAGGTGATGTTAATTTATCTGAAAACAAATACAAATCCCAGTTTTTCCCAGTGCCTGACAACCCTTCCAGGCTGATTCAGTCATTCCAAGGTGGAGAGGAGCTGGTACTGCAGCTCATCTGAGTCACTGCTGAGCAGTCATGGGCAGCTTTGAGCTGAGCACACTGAAAAATAAAAGTGGGCAAAGGGAGTTTATAGGAACATGAGTTGTACCTGCTGTGATCACCCTTGTGGGATTTGGGAGGTGCTGGTCCTGCTCTCTCCCTGCTCCCTGCCTGAGGCTGCAGGGGTGGGTGGTAACAAAAAAATCCTCTGGTTTGGTAATCCAGACTGAGAAGTGGGAGAAAGGAAGAGGGAAAGAAATGGTTTTAAGTGAGAAAGGAGAGAGGATGCTTGTGTTGGCTGTTCTCTTTCCTCCAGCCAAAGCCCAGGTCTTGTTAAATACGGGAGGGCCTAGGGAAAGATGGGCTTCTTGTCCCAGTGAGGTGGTTATAGAACTTCAGAATCCTGGAATGGTTTGGGTTGGAAGAGACCTTAAACTCACCTCATTTTAACCTCTTCTTCCAGCCCAGCCTGCTCCAGGCCCCATCCAGCCTGGCCTTGGCACAGTTATGCTGATAATGGATTTCATGCTTTTAATTGAACTTCTGCACAAAGTTCTTGAGCCTCAGTAAAAGGATGAATTTAATAACGAATTGTTCCAGGATGATCTGACAAGCCTCATCCAACATGTCAGGGATTAGTTGATTAGTTGCTACATCCATTTTCAAAGGAAGCCCAGGAAGAAAAGATAAAAACCTTTTGTGCTATTTCTCTCTGCAGCAAACAACATGAACCCCCCCCCCACACACACACACACTTTGTCCACTGCTACTTGGAGCAAGTTTGATCCTTTCTAGAGCTGCTGTCATTGAAATGATCTCCATGCTAATTTTTCTGTGCTGAGAAGCACTTTTTGAGAGAGGAATTTATGTTAAACAGCAGGTAGACTCCCAAAGGCTCCTTTGTTTCTTGTCCTGAGTCCTCTGGCCCTGAAATTAAATGGAGAGAGAAAGGAAAGACGTGAGCAGGTGCAATTTAGGCTGTGCCCTTCCCAAACACCACATTTGAGTTTTGGAACCTCACCCTCTGACAGCCTTGAGTTTGTAAGAGTGATTGAGAGATGACTTGGCTTGATAGACAAGTTCTTGGAGCAGGCCCTGAGGATGTGAATCCTTGTCTCATCATCAGGATGAGAAATCTCTGCTAAAAGATGTTTCTTCCAGCCATTGCTGCTTCCTAATCCCTGTGCAATGAGGAATGAATTGCAAACCAATGATGAGGGTCCAGCTCAGGAGGGAAGGGGGAGATTTTCCATCCCTGGAGGTTTTAATACTAACTTGAGGTTTTTTTTCCAAAATACCTTTAACTAGATATGCTGAGCAAGAAAACAACCCATTGTGTGTGAGCTCTCATTACCCCCCCAGTCAGATTTGGGATCCTCGGGTTTTTGGTTTGGGCTCTGTTTCCCTCAGGTTGACTGGATCCAGTTCTGCAGGCTGAGGAACTTTGGGAATTTGTCTTGGCTGTTGTCCATAAAGCGAGTGTTTTCCCAAGCAGTAGGGGCATTAGCTGGGACAAATGGGAATCCTCTGCTGAGAACTGGAATGGGGATGCAGCCCACTCCACCTCCCTGCCGAGGCAGGGCCATCCCAGAGCCCAGGGCACAGCATTGTGTGCAGAGGCTGGGCAGGATCCCCGCTGAGGGAGACTCCAGCCCCTCCCTGGGCAGCCTGGGCAGGGCTGGCACTGCCCAGGGCAGAAGTTGTGCCTCCTGTGCAGGGGCAGCTCCTGGGCTCAGCCCTGCCCGTGGCTCTGGTGCCACTGCTGGGCCCCGGAGCAGAGCCTGGGCCCTGCTCTGCCCTCCCTGCACACAGGGACAGCCAGGCCTGAGGGCCCCTCTCAGCTGGGGCTCCTCTCCAGCCCGAGCAGCCCCGGCTCCCTCAGCCTTTCCTGGGCACAGAGATGCTCCAGGCCCTCCTCATCCTCACACCTGAGCTGGCCCCGCTCCAGGAGCTGCTGTCCCTGAGGATGCAGGGCTGGACACAGCACCCCAGAGCTGCCTCCAGGGCTGGGCAGAGGGGCAGGATCCCTCCCTGACCTGCTGGGAATGCTCCTCCTGACCTGGGGTGAGCAAAACAGCTCTTGAATAAGTGGTTGCTGGTCCATGGGTGTCCATGGGCCTGCTGTGCTCTAGGCTGAAGGTCCCTCCTGTCACTTGTGCTCTGAGGAACGTCTTCCAGCCCTGGTGTGGTGTCACCTGCTCTGTCTTGTACCCCTTGAGTTCCTCATGATGAATCCTGTGCCATGCATGGGCTGGCCTGGTAGGACTTGCTGAGCTGCAGGGACCAGCAGGGGCCAGGTGCCAGTGTTCTCTCAGACAGCCTGGAGCCATGCACAGAGCAGGAATGAGCCCTGCAGGTTAATGGGATGGTATGGCACTGTGGGAACTGATGATGGGGCAGAACCTTGTCCTTCCTGTCCTTCCAGGAGGGTCACAAAGCAAAGGAAGCAGCTCACTGGCACTGCCAGGAGCTCAGGCTGTGCCTTTGGACATCACACACAGCACTGCTCCAGATCTGGGATCTAACCTTGCCCTCAAGCTCTTTCTGCTTCAAGGGGATTAGGATTTCCTGGAGAACCAGGGTCAGGGCTCGCTGGGAGAGGTGGAGCAGACACCTGGGTTTTTCCTTTATTAAAAAAAGATCAAGAAGGGAAATGGTTCCCT